TCAAAGCTCACCACTCACAAATAAACGTTGTTGACATTTTGATAAATACTATTCCAGACATTTTTGTTTAAATATGCATTCAATTTTACATAAATATATACCTTTTCTGGAAACATTTTTCTTCTAAAGTCTCAACAGTAGAATGTAGACATTTCCCTAGTTTTATAACTATAAAATTGTTTTCACAACAAAGTTTTTTTTTTTTTTTTAACTTTTTAAATATTTTGTAAGGACCAGAGTCTCTCCATGCTACCCAGGCTAGTCTCAAACTACTGGCCTCAAATGGCCCTCATACCTTGATCTCCCAAAGTGCTGGGGTTACAGATTTGAGGCATGCATCAAGCCCCATTGTTTTCTCAATAGTTTTTTTAAATTTTTTTCTGAGCGGGCACCTGGATTTGAACCATTACAGCAGTTTTCTTTTTCTCTCTCTCTTTCTTTCTTTTTTTTTTTTTTGAGATGGAATCTTCCTTTGTTGCCCAGGCTGGAGTGCCTTGTCATCTGGGCTCACTGCAACCTCTGCCTCCTGGGTTCAAGTGATTCTCCTGCCTCAGGTAATTGTTGGGTGATAGGGTACACACATGTTAAGATTTTGATACATATTGCCAAGCTGCCTTTCCTCCATAAAGTTGCATTAATTTAATTTGTACTCTTACCAACAGCGCCCAAGAATGCCCGTTTTGTGTATTTCGCCAAATTTAAGGTGTTCTTAATCTTTTTAACCTTTGCCAATCTGATAGATGAAAAATTTACCTTGCTTTAATTTGAATTTCTACAATTACTAGGGAGGTTGAGTATCTTTTTTATTTTATTAAAAAAGTCTTAATTAATTAATTAATATTTGAGCCAAGGGTTACTCTGTTGCCCAGGCTGGAGTGCAGTGGTGCAATCTTGGCTAACTGCAATCTCCACCTCCTGAACTCAAGCGATCCTCTCACCTCAACCTCCCAAGTAGCTGGGACTACAAGCGCGTGTCACCATGCCTGGCTAATTTTGTGTAGAGACAAAGTCTCACAACATTCTCCAGACTGGTCTCTACCTCCTGGACTCAAGCAATCCTCCCGCCTTGGCCTGCCAAAGTGCTGGGATTACAGGCATGCACCATCTCACTCATTTGAGTATCTTTTTATGTGTTTATTGGTTGTATTTCTACCTGCATAATTTGTCTGATCATGACCTTTGAGCTGTTATTTACTAGAGTATTTGTCTTTTTCTTTTTAATTTGAAGAGCTCTTTTTATGTTAGAGATGTTAAGTCTTTATCTGTTACATATGTTGAAAAAATCTTTTTTTAATCTGTGGTTTGTCTTTCAACCTTGCTTATAGTGTCACTCAGAGGAGTTATTTTTTATGTAGTAAAACTTACTGTTTTTCCTTTTTGATTTGGGTTTCCAGATCATATTTAGATCTTCTCAACTAGGTAAAATAAAAAATAAATAAATAAATGACTGCATCTTAGTACATTAATAAAACTATAAGATATTCACACCTACTTTTTAGCACAAATGTTATGATTGAATTTAATTTCTGATTAATGTAGAATTTATTTTGGTATATGAAATGAGAGGTAAGGATCTATTTTTTTTTTTAACGAATGGCTATCCAGTCATTTCAGTACTTTTTCGTGAATAATTCTTTGCCCTACTGATTTATATAATTTCTCTATATATTTGGATCTGTTTCTGAACTCTATTCTGTTCATTTATCTGTCTGCACTATCACCACACAATTTTATTTGTAATCATTTTGATATCTGGAAGAAGCTCCTCTTCCTCACTCCATTAATAATTTTGTTTTTAGAATTTTCCTGACTATAATTGCATGTTTATTCTGGAAGTCTTTTTCTTCTTTTAACAGGACCTAATGCTACTTTATTAACTAATTTGCATCCTTGGTTGCTTACTGTCTTTTAATCCACTCTATTATTGCAAGTCTTAATAGACTCTCATTAGAGTCCAAGCTGTTCACCCATCTTATGTACTATGTATTTCACTATTTCTGTAACATTTTGTTAAAGGGTAGGACCGAAAACTTACAGCTTATGTTAGGGTAAAGGAAGATAATTCACAGCATGTTGAATGCCACTTAATGGCATTTTACTGCTCACTCTTGCATATCCACCTCAATACGAACCTGCTTCTTTTATCTCCTCTCATTTTCTCTCTTTCTCTTTTACTTTTTTCTTCTGTTTCTTTTAATTTTCATTTACTTGTAACATCTAGGAAGGCCATCTGGATAAAAAAAAAGTTGAAGATATCCATTCATCATCAGGGTTTTCACCCTTTCTGTGCATTTTCCTTTATTCACTGGCCTTTTCAGTGCACTGGTGTCAGCTTAGTAGCCCTAACTTTGGGGTCATATTTACAACCGGTATTCATCAATAGAGTCATGTGATTCCTAAATGCGGTATATAATCCTGAATAATAAAATACCCGTTCTACTACAGACATTATTAATCATTAAGAACTCTAAGATGCATGTGAAAGGGCTGCTTGTAGTCTTGAGAGCTGAAGTCTAATTATCACCTTGTTTGTTCATCTGTTCATCCATGAACAAAGAAGCTATGGGGGAACCAGGGGCTTAGGTGGGATAATGGAAGTAGGGACTTTGTCAACCAGGAAATGGGAAATGATAATGGGAACTAACATTTGTTAAGTGACTACTACTATATGTCAGGCATATATATGTCTATGTCTAGATGCTTTACGTGCATTATTCCATTGAACCAGAAGCCTAGAATGACTTTTATTCCCATTGTACAGAGGAGGAAATTGAGGTGCTAAAATTCTTTAAAAAAATTTTTTTCTAAATAGAGGCAGGGCACAGTGGCTCATGCCTGTAATCCCAGCACTTTGGGAGGCAGAGCCGGGCCAATCACCTGAGGTCAGGAGAGACCAGACCCATCTCTACTAAAACTACAAAAATTAGCTGGACGTAGTGGTCAGTGCCTGTAATTCCAGCTACTTAGGAGGCTGAGGCAGGAGAATCACATGAACCTGGGAGGTGGAGGTTGCAGTGAACCAAGATGCCATTGTACTCCAGCCTGGGCAACAGAGAGATACTTCATCTCAAAAAAAAAAAAAAAAAAAAAATAGAGCTATGGTCTCATTATTTTGCCCGGGCTGGTCTTGAACTCCTGGGCTCAAGTGATCCTCCCACCTTGGCCTCCCAAAGTGCTGGGATTACAGGCATGAGCCACTGCACCTAGCGTCTTTTTTAATTTTAATTTTAATTTTTTTTTTTGTATAGAGACAAAGTCTTACTATGTTGCCCAGGCTGGTCTTAAACTCCTGGGCTCAAGGAGTCCTTCTGCCTCGGCTTCCCAAAGTGTTGGGATTACAGATGTGAATCACCATGCCCAGTTGAGATGCTAAGATTCTTAAAGCTGGCTCAAGGCCACACAGTATGTGGTGCATGGCGAGTCAGTCAACTGTGGCATACTCTACTGCTCCCTTTCACCAGAACTCTTTCCCTAATATGGCAATCGAGGGTTATGAAATAAAGACATACCAAATTGCAGGATGCAAAAGAAGAGGAATTAATAGCAGTACTTTCTGTTTTCCCATTTTTCTTCATTGTACTGTGTAATCTAGATACAATTTTGAAGAGGGAAAATAAATTACTTTTAGAAACCTCATCTTTTCAATGAGATCTAATGACTGATTCTGAGACTTTCAGGGTCAGGAAGGAACTCTGTTAATGCTCCCAGAAACTGGAGCCACAGTTTCTTTTCTTTATGCTGTTAGCCAGCTCCACATCTGCCCTGAGGTACACAAGGCTTAAAAGACGGGTATATAGGAAGAACTGGGAGGTTTATTAATGTTTTGAATTTGTGTTATCTACAAATCTGGAGGCATCATGTTTTCACACTGTTGCCTCTGAGTGGAGATTAGCATCATGCTTAGATTTAGCTGGAATCAAATTTTTATTTACATATTCCACCCCTCAAGCCATTTGGTTTGGAAATGCATGGGACAGGCAAGCTTGCTGTGAGAGGTATTAGGTAGTTTCCTAAGGTAGTTTCCTAATGATTGGACAAAGGCAGGGCAGCAGAAACATGTCTTGGAACTACAAGATTTTTTAATTTTTAATTTTTCTATTTATTTATTTGTTTATTTATTTTTGAGCCGGAGTTTCACTCTTGTTGCCTAGGCTGGAGTGTAATGGCGTGATCTTGGCTCACCACAACCTCCGCCTCCCCGGTTCAAGCAATTCTCCTGCCTCAGCCTCCCGATTAGCTGGGATTACAGGCATACGCCACCACACCCGGCTAATTCTGTATCTTTAGGAGAGACGGGGTTTCTCCATGTTGGTCAGGCTGGTCTCGAACTCCCGACCTTAGTTGATCTGCCCACCTCAGCCTCCCAAAGTGCTGGGATTACAGGCGTGAGCCACTGCTCCGGGCTTATTTTTTATTTTTAAGAGACATGGTCTCGCTGTCGCCCAGGCTGGAGTGCAGTGGCGGGATCATGGCTCATTGGACCTAAACTCTCAGGCTCAAGTGATCTTTCCACCACAGCCTCCCAAGTAGCTGGGACTACAAGCGCATGCCATCACACTCGGCTTTTTTTTTTTCTTTTTCTTTCTTTCTTTCTTTTTTTTTTTTTTTTTGGTGTAGGTGCAGACTGGCTTGTTGCTCAGACTGGCCTCAACTAGTCTCCTCAGCTTCTAATATGTCTGTTATTTCTGGCCTTTGCCACTCTTTCATACCCAGTGGTCAACAATGTCTACTTGCTTTATTTCTTTTCCTGTTCTTTTTGTGTGTGTGTGTGAAGTCTTGCTGTTTTTTCTGTAATCCTGGCCATTTGCACTTTTCCTCAATTCATTGTAGTATGCTTTCAGTATTACATCACACTTGCTTAATCTCAGTGAGTCTCACCCTGAAATCGCCCAGCAACTGACTCTCTGAACTGCATCCCCAGGATGTAAGGTTTAGACTGGGTCCCAAAGCCTAGGCGCCTTGACACAGGGTTAAGGCCAAGTGGGAGTGGCTTTAGTGGTCTAGCGTGACGTCACTAACGTCGCTAGGGGGCGGTGCTTTCCGAGCGTCCTCGTCCTCGTGCGCTGTGGAAGGAGGCTGTGGAGAGCACAGCCGCGGCGTTGGTGGCTGCAGCTGAGGTGAGTGATTTTTTGGGCAGGAAGGGCTAGATTAGGGTTCAAACAGAGGTTAGTTGGGTAGTTTATAACTAGCAAGAATATAGCCATCAGGCCAACACTTTTTAGAGTGGCCCTGAGGCAGTGACTTTATGCTACCGAACTGCTGGTGGCTCTCAAGGTGAACAAAAGAGGGGCAAAAGTAATGTTTTTTGACGAGGATGGAGGCATATGGGGAGGAGTGGTGGGCCATTGAAAATCGGAAATAGGAGTCATTGTTGTTTAGATGCTGAAAGACCTAAATCATGTCGAAGCGGGACTGTTGATGACCGTTGGGGGCAACGAACGTAATGTTTTTTTGACGAGGATGGAGGCATATGGGGAGCGGTGGTGGGCCACTGAAAACCGGAGATAGCAGTCATTGTGGTTTAGATGCCAAAGGACCTAAATTGTGTCAAAGCGGGACTCTTGACCGTTGGGGGCAATGTAATGTTTTTTGACGAGAATGGAGGCGTATGGGGAGCGGTGGTGGGCCACTGAAAACTGGAGATGGTAGTCATTGTAGTTGAGATGTTGAAGGACCTAAATCATATCTAAGTGGGGCTGTTGATGACCGTTGGGGACGGGATGCTGAAGGTGCTAGCTTTCTCAGAGAGCGGGAAAAAGGACCGGGAGTGCTGGCTTTCTCAGAGAGCGGGAAAAAGGACCGGGAGTGCTGGCTTTCTCAGAGAGCGGGAAAAAGGACCGGGAGGGCTGGCTTTCTCAGAGAGCGGGAAAAAGGACCGGGAGGGCTGGCTTTCTCAGAGAGCGGGAAAAAGGACCGGGAGGGCTGGATTTCTCAGAGAGCGAGGAAAAAGGACCGGGAGGGCTGGCTTTCTCAGAGAGCGGGGAAAAAGGACCGGGAGGGCTGGCTTTCTCAGAGAGTGGGGAAAAAGGACCGGGAGGGCTGGCTTTCTCAGAGAGCGGGAAAAAGGACTGGGAGTGATTGGATGCTTTGAATTGCAGTTGGTAGCGGAAGTGGATTTTGAACCAATGAGAAGGAAGCAGCGAGAACCAGCCAGACCAATCACAGGGTACCACTCAGCTCCGCTTCCCCCATTGCCAGGCAGACTTACATTAAGAAAAGGTCCCTTTTATGTAACTTGGTAGCCTGGCCCTGACCCTCACAAACCCTTTCATGGGCTTTTAGCTTTACTCAGCCTTTTTTTCTCTTGTTGGATAACAAGTAACGGGAGACATTTCACTGGATAGTAATTTGTTGAGAAACTAGGGGATAAAACAGAGTATTAAAAATATTTTATTATTTCATAGGCTTCAGCCAGAGATTTAAAAATGGACAATGACGATTTTCTTTCCATGGACTTTAAAGGTACGTAGCTTTATGTGGTAGTAAAAAATAATGTCAAACTGCTGCTTATTTAAGATCTAAATATTTCGCTTCTTAGTTTTGTCTCTTTGCAGTGTCTGCAGCTCCAGGCTTTCTTATTTATGTGCTAGAAACAACGTCAATTTTATTTTTTGAGATGGAGTTTCGCTGTTGTTACCCAGGCTGGAGTGCAATGGCACGATCTCGGCTCACCACAACTTCCGCCTCCTGGGTTCAAGCAATTCTCCTTCTTCAGCCTCCCGAGTAGCTGGGACTACAGGCGTGCACCACCATGCCCAGCTAATTTTTGTATTTTTAGTAGAGACGGGGTTTCACCTTGTTGACCAGGATGGTCTCGATCTCTTGACCTCGTGATCCACCTGCCTCGGCCTCCCAAAGTGCTGGGATTATAGGCGTGAGCCACGGCGCCCCGCCAACAATGTCGATTTTTAACACATTGGGAACCTTTTATGAACTAGTGTAGGGAGACAGAATTCATAATTCATAACTTGTTTTTTTTCAGGATTTTTATGGCATGCAAAATAAAACATTTAATCTGAAAGATACATCTATTGCAATAAAAATAAATTTAAAAAATTACTGCAAAATCTTGGAGTGTCCTACTATAATCATTCGTGAAAAATAAATTATATCCTGTGTAGTTTTAGATTTAAGTGCATTTTATGGCATCTTAATTCGTTTGAAAATTGGTAATACATGTTTGGTTTTATGGGAACTCTTAATAAACAAAAGCAATTTGACTGACCAACACACCAAATTCCTCAACCATGCCAGATATAGGAGAGTTTATGGTACTTTCTTTGCTTTTGGGGAATAATGAGACCTGTGGTACCTTCACATTCATATAGTAATGAAATATGTGGTAAGAAATGTGGCTACAAATCTATGATTTAAAAAAGTTTAGGTCAGTATTTTGTTAATACTTTTTTTTTTTGAGACAAAGAGTTTTGTTCTTGTTGCCCAGGCTGGAGTGCAGTGGTGTCATCTTGACTCACTGCAACCTCTGCCTCCTGGGTTCAAGGGATTCTCCTGCCTCAGCCTCCAAAGTAGCTGGGACTACAGGCTCGCACAGCCACACCCGGCTAATTTTTTTGTATTCAGTAGAGACAGGGTTTCACCATGTTGGTCGGGCTTGTCTTGAACTCCTGACCTCATGTGATGCACCTGCCTCGGCCTCCCAAAGTGCTGGTATTACAAGTGTGAACCACCGTGCCCAGCCAATACTTGTTATTTTAAAACAACAACAATAAAGCCCACTACTGTGTACTCTAAGTTTTAAATTCAGACATAATACCTTAAAGGTATAAAGATGGAATAGGGATTATGACTTTTAAATAGCTAATATTTGAGACTGTATTTACATAAATATTTGAATCACACAGAAGAGTATAGGAAATAATACAATGAACCTACCACTGAATTTAGTCAAGTCTTAAGTTTGCCATATGCCTCAGATGTTTCAAATAACTAAAAGATTTCATGTACCATGTTTCTTTTTACGTTTTATATAAATGATTATTTTATACAATTTCTTTTTCCTGTAGCTTGTCTCCTTTTTTCCCTCTTTTTGCTCGGTATTGTGTTTTTGATATTTACCCATATGAATACTTTTAGTTCATTTATTTCCACCGCTGAGTAGTGTTTCATTGAATGTAAATGTACCACAATTTATCCATTCAATCTCCTTAAAAATTGTTTCAAATATTTGCTATTACAAACAACAATGCTACAAGGAACACTGTGTTTCTGAGAGTTTAGCAGAAACTTTCAAAAACATCTTTGACTACCACTCATGGCAAAAAATATTTTGATCACATCCCAGTACATACATACTGTGTCAAAAGTTTAATAAAAGAAGTTTTACCCTTATTACATGCAGTAGACTATGATATTTTCTATTCTATTCTTTTTCATTAAGAAAATGCTGGGTATTCAGCCATAGGTCTGACTGAAAAAAAAAATGCTGAGTATGACTCACTACATTGAGATATATATATATATATTTTGAGATGGAGTTTCACTCTTGTTACCCAGGCTGGAGTGCAATGGTGCAATCTCGGCTCACCACAACCTCCGCCTCCTGGGTTCAGGCAATTCTCCTGCCTCAGTCTCCAGAGTAGCTGGGATTACAGGCACGCACCACCATGCCCAGCTAATTTTTTGTATTCTGAGTAGAGATGGGGTTTCACTATGTTGACCAGGATTGTCTCAATCTCTTGACCTCGTGGTCCACCCGCCTCGGCCTCCCAAAGTGCTGGGATTACAGGTGTGAGCCACCGCGCCCGGCCCATTGATACATTTCTTGAGCTACTGATAGGTGAGGCTCTAGGGCACTGCTGTTCAACTGACATATGGTGCAAAAACATAAAATTTTATATTTTCTAGTAGCTGTATTAAAAGTGTTTAAACAGATGAAATTAATTCTAATGATCCAATCTATTTAACTCCGTATATCCAAAATGTTATCATTATAAGTTATAATCAATATACAAATTATAGGTTATTTTACATTCTGTATTTTTTGGTACAAAGTCTTTGGAGTCTGGCATGTATTTTATACTTAAAGCACATTTCATTTTCGATCAGCCACGTTTCAAGTGCTCAACAGTCACATGTGGCTAGTGGCTACCATACTGGACAGTGCAGCTCTAGAGTTTACATTTATGAGTCTAATTGCTGAATCAAAAGCTATGAGCATCTTTAACTTTATAGATATTGCTAAATTGCTTTCCAAAATTGTCTTAACAATTTAAACTCCCTTTTCCCCATATCTGTACTAATATTTGATATTGTCAGACTTTTAAAATTTTATAATTTTGAAGAATGTTGTTGTTTTTATTTACCATTTTATTTTGGAATAATTTTAGATTTACAGAAAAGTTGCAAAGATAGTGCAGAGAGTTCCTGTATACTCCTCAGGCAGTTTCATTTTCCCAAATGTTATCATCTTACATGGGTGTTGTTTTGACTTATATTTTCCTTATAACTAGTGAAGTTGGTGTATTTTCATAGACTTACTGGCTGTTTGAGTTTTCTCTTATGCACACATAAACTTTTCAGTCAAGTTTTGTAAAAATGGACCATAAAAGCCTATCCAGTGGCTTTTAGGAATAGCTATAGTTCATTCCTTCTTAGGGAGAATTGGCATGACACCAGTCTTTTTTTGTATCACCAATCTCAATAAATTTTCAAGACCAAGGCCTGGCCTGGTGGCTCATGCCTGTAATCCCAGCACTTTGGAAGGCTGATGCAGGAGGAGCACTTGAGCCCATGAGTTTCAGACCAGCCTGGGTAACAGAGACCCTGTCTTTACCAAAAAAAAAAAAAAAAAAAAAAAAAAAGCTGGATATGGTGTTGCATGCCTGTAGTAGTCTCAGGAGCCAGAGGTGGGAGGATCACTTGAGCCTAGGAGGTCGAGGCTGCAGTGAGCCTTGATTGTTCCACTATTCTCTAGCCTGGGTGACAGAGTGAGATCCTATCTTAAAAAAATATTCAAGACCAAGAAGGAATAGAAATTTTCTAGATTATTACACCCATTGGGGCTAAATAAACTCCTTTTATGCATGTCATCTTCAACTATTTGAAGTTAACTTATCATATACCCTGGAAAGTGTCTTCAGATTGAGCATTCTCAGTTTGTTCAAACATTCCTTATATTATCTGGTTTCTAGTCTCCTTATCTTTTTTTTCTGCTGTCCTTTAAACATGCTCTATTCTTTTCACGTTATTTCTTAAAGTGTGGTACCCAGAATAGAACACAATTCTCTATGTTTGATATAATCAGCATAAAATACAGTCATGTGCTGCATAACGACATTTCAGTCAACAAAGGACAACATATACAATGGTGGTCCCAGAAGATTTTAATGGAGCTGAAAAGTTCCTATCACCTAGTGATGTCAGAGCTGCCATAAAGTTGTAGAGCAATGCATTACTCATGTGTTTGTGGTGATGCTTGTGTAAACAAATCGATTGTGCTGCCAGTTGTTTAAAACTATAGCATGTACATTTATGTATAGTGAATAATACTTGAGAGTGATAGTAAATGACTGTGCTACTGGTTTATGTATTCACTATGCTATACTATGCTATCTTATACTATTTTTTTATCATCATCTTAGAGTGTACTCCTTCTATTTATAAAACATAAAGTTAACAGTAAAATGGCCTCAGGCAGGTCCTTCAGGAGGTATTCCGGAAGGCATTGTTATCATAGGAGATGACAGGACCATGCGTGTTATTGCCCCTGAAGAACTTCTAGTGGGACAAGATATGGTGGTGGAAGACAGTGATAGTGATGATCCTGAGGCTGTGTAAGCCTAGGCTAATAATGTGTGTGTTTGTGTCTTAGTTTTTAACAAAATGTTTAAAAAGTTAAAAAAAATTAATAATGTTAAAAACAGAAAAAAGCTTATAGAATGAGGATATAAAGAAAGAAAATATTTTTGTACAGCTGTATAATATTTGTGTTTTAAGCTAAGTGTTATTACAAGAGTCAAAAAGTTAAAAATAATTAAAAACTTCCTACTTTGAGGAGGCTGAGGCAGCCAGATCACTTGAGCTCAGGAGTTCGAGACTGGACTGGGAATCATGGTGAAACCCTGTCTCTACCAAAAATATAAAAAATTATCCTGGCATGGTGGCAAGTGCCTGTGGTCCTAGCTACTCTGTGGTCCCAGCTACTCTGTGGTCCCAGCTACTCAGTAGACTAAGGTGGGTGAAGGGCTTGAGCCTGGGAGGCGAAGGTTGCAGTGAGCTGAGACTACCCCACTGCATTCCAGCCCCGGTGACATGCACCATCATGTCCATATAATTTTTAAATTTTTTATGGAGATGGGATCTCCCTGTGTTGCCCAGGTTGGTCTTGAACTCCTGGGCTCAAGCAATCCTCCTTCCTTGGTGTCCCAAAGTGCTAGGATTACAGTTATGAGCCATTGTACCCAGTCATTTAAAATCTTTTATATCATATTACTTACCTTTTC